GTCAGGCTGAACTTGGAGCACAAGGACCAGTGGTGTAGTGGTAACACATTGCGTCCGGACGTGAAGGGAAGTGGTTCAATTCCTTCCCAGTCCAGGAAAATTTTTGGAGAGGGAGCTCCGTTCATGACAGCGACTACGTGGAAAAGTGAAATTGCTGTTTTTGTCAAAAACACTGATGCATTTCGCGTATTAGTGATTGATACCAACGAGAAAGTAAGCGAGCATTCGAGCGATTCCCGAAAAGGTGGCACACATACATTAAGCAGACGACGGTACTAACTGGAAATACGTAGCCCAAGACGGAAGAATCTGGTGCAGTCATCCCAGTAACATCATTAATATGCGAAAAAGCTCATTATTTGCCCGGGGAGTTAGTGAATCAGCATATGTTTTACGCCGGTCAATAAGTATTTCAAAAAATATGTTTTTCTAGAAAGGCATATTAGCAAGGGATGAAATAAGAAGAATGAAAAAGGAAGGTAAGAAATGAGAATTAGGAAACTTTGTAAAATTAGTGAAACTATTGTAATGATAAGAAATGTTTCGGTCCATTAAGTCATATACATGTCTTACCGTTACCAAATTAAGAATTTGCTCATATTGTCAAATTTTGCTTTATTTTGAACTGAAATTCTGTAGATTTCATACGCTTTGATAACAAGAAATTCGATCAAAACAAATGTTTTGGTGAATTTGGACTCTAAAAAATTGTGTTGAGGGAATGTAGAGGATGAGAAGTGGTCGGAAATTGTTTATGGCGCAAAAATGTGGGGGTTTTTTTTTCTTGCAGATATCATATCTGGGTTGCGCGAAGATTGAAAATCCGAGCAGCGAGGTGGAAATCCTGAAAATTATGCAACTGTTGAACAAGGAACGCTCGGAGAAACCCATTGACGTGATCCTACTGATTCCAGAATGCTCCTCCGGCATCGTTCGGTTAGTGTTTTTGCACATATACAAGCAAACATACAAAAACACACAGACACACATACACATGCAAACAAACATACACACACACACACATACAGACAAGCATACACGCGCACACAAACCCATACATACATACACACATTGTAAATTGTACATGCATTTGTTGCCGATGGCACTTGTATTGAAATTTCATTGTTTTAAAATGTTATTCCCGGAATTATGTGCGTCGATTTTCCCT